TACTACATAAGGAAAAATGTTCTCACTGGTGAATACAAATTCTCCTGGACAATTAACAGAACTCCCAGGTATTTTGTTATGCTTCCTAACGCTTTGGGGTTAATCAACATGTTCTGGGCCACTCTCAAGGAGAATCTCCAAGGGTAGAAAAAATTCCATAAATTGTTCTCACTGTGCCCTTTTAGAAGCACATGGGGCATCAAGACAGAGGATTCATGACAGGTAAAAGTTAAACTATTTTCATATTTTGCCCATATTTAGAATGTTTCTGTATCATCTTTTGATCATGTAAATATTTCAGTCATGCCAACTTTCGATGGCAAAGTAAAGGCAAAATATGAGGACTTTAGAATCTGTTGGGCATTGGCTTCATAATGTCTTAGATGAGCATTTCTTTCCCTTTTTCTTCATTTCTTTTGTAAAGAAGATAGCGTTGCAAAATAATAATACTCAACAACAACAGAAAATATACAAATAATTTGGTGCTTTCCATAGAACTTCAAATTTGATGATATAAAGTCATTTTATCTTCCCTTATTTTGGAAAATCAGTATTTACCAATGAAAATTAATCAGCCTGTCATCATTACATCTGAGCAAGATTTCTGTAGCTTTTATTGCATTCATTAAGACATCTGCTTTCCTAAAAAATATCTACTGATACCCTATTCAGTATTTCTCACATAAACAATGCTTGTGAATAGGGATGAGGTAGATATCAGAGGGGTATAACTTTATTTGGCTTAATTTATATGATAGTGTATAGCCTCGGTAATAATTTTATAAATAATTTTATAATACTACATTTTTTCTATTTGCTTGTTTATTTTTGAGAGAGGCTGTTGATACTGCATTTTTCATTGTAGCAGCATCATTTCAAACCATTTATTATTTTAAATTCATCCTTTTAAGGAAAATTGATTTAGATATGTGGTTTATTATAATATACATCTTAATTTAAATTAACTTCTGTTTATCGCGTAGTGGTTACGAATCGGGCTGTGAACCTTAAGGTCAGCGGTTCGAAACTACCAGCCGCTCCGCGGGAGAAAGATGAGGCCTTCTACTCCCATAAGGATTTACACCCTCGGAAACCCTGTATAGGGTCGCTATGGGTCGGAACCGACTCAACGGCACTTAACAACAACAACAATCTGCATTATGTACTATATGATTTTGTTGTTGTTATTAACTGCTGTCGAGTCAGGTCCAAGCACAGAATAATCACTGGGGTCTTTTGTGTACATAAGGATTTATAATAAAATCTACCATTTTATGTATATTTCATGAGCATATTCTAGTATCTATGCTCTTGAGTAATACTTATATAGGGATTGCAACCTTTTTTTTTTTTCCCATTAACCTAAGGAATCTTTTTTCCAAACAGAATTTTTAAATAAAATTTTATTGTATACATCCATGTCAATGAATTCACTGTTTCCCAATTTGCTCAAATTTTCTCTCTCTATCTTAAGTTCTTTGCTAAGAAAATATATATGATTTGATAAAATCAATATAATATACACACAGGAGATTTCAAAAAGTTTGTGGAAAAAATTCATTATTTCTAAATTCCATTTTAAATTAACTTTTGGAAGCCCCCTTATATGTTAGAATGAGAATGCTTCTAACCATGGCTATATTGTAAATAATTGTTATAGTTCATTTTTAGTTTGGAAGTTAACTTTGGGGGTGTTGATAGGAGTCATTTGCAAGGAAAACATACTGCTCAGCCTAGTTATCATAATAGCCTTGACGTAGAAGTTAAGTCACACTCAAAAACGTCATATACACTTTCAAGTACTCTACTGTCATTATAGAAACCACAACAACAAAAAACACTGGATACTTGACATTTGAAATCTATTTTCCAATTCAATAAACACATAGAAACAATTGATTACTGTTTTCTTTCCAGAAACCATAAAAGGATATGATCATTTTGCAGATTTTCCAAAAGAAATGAAGATATCTTATTCTATAACCAACAGTAGAGGTATAGTAGAGACTATATGTATATATATGTACCCCCTCCTTGGATACTTCCCTATATAAAGATAAACTATGCCCACTCTGATCTGGACTTCTGCTATGGCACTGTAGGAAAAGTCCAGAATTCCAAGATTGGTTTGAACCACAAGGCTGGCAGTTTAAACTCACCAGTTGCTCCTTGGAAACTCTATGCAGGGTTGCTATGATCAGAATTGGCTAGATGGTACTTAACAACAGCAATGATCTGTTAGAATATCTTAGTTAACACATGTGTTGAATACCTGTTACATGTGCTGTTTCAGTCTATACCATCAACTACACAAAGTTTTCAAGTAAAGCATATAAAATGCTTCTAAACAGTTTGAGAATTTATGCTTTAAGGTTTTAAAAATATAATAAAAATTAACTTACACATATTATTATAATCTAACTGATTTATAAATGATAAATAGTAAGCTAAAAACCATCTATCCCCATCTCCTTTAATTTGTGATACAATGGGGAATAAATTGTTATCAGGACTGACTGTGAGGGTTGGAAATGTAAAGGTGGATGTTTTGTAGCAAAAGGAGGGGAGTGATTTGGCTATGCGGTCTAGGAGTGGAGGTCCCTGGAACCATCAAGGGAAAAGAGCAAAGTGTGATACCCTACCTAGAGAAGCAGTGATGCCAGAGATGGAGGCAGAGACAATGACATGGAGAGATGGAGTGGCTGGGAACTCTAGACCCAGAGAGGGTGAGGGGCTGTGTGCTGACAACTGAGGAGCAGGATTACAAGGTATATCTTTGGTTGGTTGATGATGCATGGAGGGGATTGTAATCATGGCAATGAAACAATATAAGACAGGATGAATGTAAAGCAAATGCTCCCCCATGTAAATTATCACATAATTCACAATAAACATTAAAAAAAAAAATGTCACAGCAATGGGGGAAAAAAATCTTTTGATGTATGTTGTTGTTGTGATGTGATGTGGAGTCGGTTCAGATTCATAGAGACCCTGTACAGGGTTTCCGAGGCTATAAATCTTTATGGAAGCAGAAAGCCTCATCTTTCTCCTGCGGAACAGATGGTAGTTTCGAACTGCTCAGCAGCCCAATTCGTAATCTCTATGCTACCAGAACTCCTTTTGAGACATAGAAGTTTTAAATTTCAATGAACTCCCTTTTCGTTGCTACTCATGCTCTTGACATCCTATGTAAGAAACCATTGTCAAAAATTAGGTCCTGAACTCACCCCCTAAATTTTGTTATAAGATCTTTATGGTTTTAACTTCTATAGGTCATTAATCCACTTTTAGTTCATTTTCATGCAGGGTGTGAGGTATGGTCCAACTTCATTCTTTCACATGTGGAGATCCAATTGTCCCAGCACCATTTGTTGAAGAGATTATATTTTTCCCCATTGAATAAGCTTGGCTAGTTTTTTTTTAAAATCAAAAACAAAACAAAACAAAAAATCTATATTCAAATCACCTAAAATTGTTCATCTTTAATCTTAATCTTTAATTTCAGTCTAAATATTGTTTTATATATTTATATGCATAGCTAATGTTGTTATAGTTTTTAAGTGCTGTTGAGTTGGTTACAACCCATAGCAACCTTGTATAGGGTTTCGGTGGAACAGCTGGTGAGCTTGAATCAGTGACTTTGCAGTTAAAAGTAATTTTGCATTCCAGCGCATTAACCCACAATGCCACACCAGGACGCCTATTTATATCAATATCTATATATAAATGTCTGTATCTATATCCCTTAATATATATCAAGGTTTCTTAGAACCTTGATAATTTGGGGTAGAAATTTTGAGATTTGGGAAGTTGCCCTGCGTGTTGAAGAATGTTTAATAAAACACCAGCCCTTTAAATATTAGATATTAGTAGCACCCTTCTCTTAGCTATGGTATCCAAAATGTCCCAGACATGGCACTGAGGAACAAATTTTCTGTTCCCAGTAGATAATCAGTGAGCTTCCTCATTGTTTGTCTCCTTCCCTATCCTTCTTATTCTCTCTATGTATTTATATCATTATGCTTTAGTTGCAGAAGTTATGTTTCTGTTCAAATAACAATGTTAGAATACTTAGATTTATCTTATTCAATTAGTAAAGTGGTGTGGTATGCTGAAAAACTCCCAGTTTATAGTACATAAAAATTATTGACTCTACCTGTGTCTCCATCCACAATAGGTTTCCTGACAGTCCTAAATGGACAAACACAATCGAACAATACTGAACGAATTCATTCTTATGGGAATCACTGACCGACCTGAGCTGCAGGCTCCATTGTTTGTACTGTTCCTCATCATCTACATCATCTCAGTGGTGGGCATCTTGGGCATGATCATCCTCACCTTGGTAGACTCCAAGCTACAAACACCCATGTACTTTTTCCTGAGACACCTGGCCATCACGGATCTTGGATATTCAACAACTGTGGGACCCAAAATGCTGGTAAACTTTATTGTGGATGAAAATACAATCTCCTATTATTTTTGTGCTATACAGTTAGCTTTATTTATTTTGTTCTTAGGTAATGAACTGTTCATTCTATCAGCCATGTCCTATGACCGCTATGTGGCCATCTGTAACCCTCTGCTCTACACAGTCATCATGTCCCAAAGGGTATGCCACATGATGGTGACAATCCCCTATCTCTACAACACATTTGTTTCACTTCTGGTCACCATAAAGATTTTTAACCTAACCTTCTGTGGCTACAATGTCATCAGTCATTTCTACTGTGATAGTGTCCCTTTGTTATCTTTGATATGCTCAAACACACAGGAAATTGAAATAATAATATTCAGCTTGTCAGCTTTTCTTTTGATTGTGTCCCTTCTAGTAGTTCTTGTTTCTTACCTGCTCATTCTTGTAGCCATTCTCAGAATGAACTCTGCAGAAAGTAGACGCAAGACCTTCTCCACCTGTGGATCTCACCTGACAGTGGTGGTAGTGTTCTATGGAACATTAATCTTTATGTATGTACAGCCCGTGTCTAGTCATTCCTCTGATGCTGATAAAGTGGCGTCCATATTCTATACTCTGGTTATCCCCATGCTAAATCCTTTGATCTATAGCTTGAGGAACAAAGATGTCAAATATGCTTTGCGTAGGACTTTGGAAAAATTGCAAGCTATATTTTCTCAACGTCACTATATCATATGAATCATATAAATTCCCTAATTGGTTTTAAAGCTTTATCATTGGGCCAAAGAGGTGATAATGGAAAGCAAAATGCATAGATCAGTTTAATTTTCATTTCTATATTGCTCTCTACCAGTCGCTCAACTTTAGTGCTGAAGTAGATTAGTCAATGAAATAGTAAAATATATGGCTTTCTTTGAGCACAAGAGTTACATTAAAGTACAGTAATTAATAAATATTAAAGTAAATAAGAATATTTAGAGGTACTAATTGATTTTTAAAAAATAAAAAAGGAATCAATATGCTGATTGGCATAATGGGTAAGCAGTAACAGACTTAGTAAGAGTTGCATAGATGTCAGACATAGAAATTTCTAGATTTAAACATTTTTAAAATTTTCTACTGAATTGATACTTTTCCTGATTGCATGCTTTGACTCATAGATTGGTGCTTGCCTCATCCATGAGGAAAAAAAAATTTTGCCTAAATTTTGTATATGTGTGAATGTATTTGTGTGTGTATGTATTTGTGGGTGGGTGTGTCTGTGCCCGAGTAGTTACTTCTCACTGATAGAAAATTCAGTTTGGTGGAATGATGTTGAAAATCAATCATCTGAGTTTACTCAAATGTCTTTTTTAGAGCTTGAAATTCCTCTTGCTAATCACCAGTACTTTTACTTTCATACAGAAAACTGAGGAGACTGTTGACTTTGTCATTAGTTTTGTTTATCATATTGTGATGATAGATGATAATATAGACAGGAAGAAATCAAAGTTGTTATATTTAACAGAATAAACTCAGAATTCGGTTTTGTTTAAATCATCCATGTAGTAGAAATACTATATCCATGTAGTGGAGATATCAGTGGAAATACTGGTCAAGACAAATTTTCTGAAATCAGCCATGTAAGTTTCTAGGTTTAAATATTTGGTTGTCATCTACTGGAATGATATTTTTCCTAGTTACATGCATTTGTCTCATAGATTGATACCATTATTTCTCTAGGGGAAAAAAAAAAAGGATGGCTTTCTGTATAGAAGATATTTTCTAATGGCTTGTGTGCTCTTGCAAATGAGGTCTATTGTAACATGAGTTAGCTTTGTTGTAATGCTTTTGTTTTGAAAATTTTAGTAAGTTTGATTTGTTTGGACTATATTTTGCTCAGGAATTATGGCTTGAATTCATAAATTTTATTATTCTACTTAGAATAAGCAAATGGAGATAATCACTAGTTTGTTCTGTGCTGTATTTCTAGTGATTGAGATATCATATGTAGCATTTTATGTATTTCGTATAATTTTGGGATATATTTACTTCATATTCCTTTTAATTTTCCTTTTCATGATTATTAGATGCTTTAATGATGTCTCTAAGAATAATTTTAAATGCTCCCAATCTCCAATAAGATTTAAGAAATTTAATTAGGAAATTCTATGAAATATTGAAAGAATTCTGATACTTTCAGAAAACTGAATAGAACAGTATATTTTCAATTGTCTTTGAGAACAGTTTTATCCTGATATCAAACACAGACAATGGAATTAAAAGAAAATAAGAAATCATATATGTGGAAGATCTGCATCAAATTTTTAGATATTTTGTCTTATAATATGCAAATAAAATAATATATCAAATTGTATGTCCCAGAAATGCATCACTGATTTTACAGTTAATAATCAATTAAATATAAGACATTGTGCATGAAAAAGCAATTACATACAACTACATGTAGATAATTATTTTCAAAGTCCTATCATATTTGATAAAACTTTGACAAAACTAGTGGTTGTGTTGTTAGGTGGCATCGAGTCTGCACTGCCTCATAGTGACCCTATGCACAACAGAATGAAACACTGCCCAATCCTAAGCCAACTTCACAATTGTTGCCATGCTAGAACCCATTGATGTTGCCACTTTGCCAATCCATCTCGCTGGGGGTCTTCCTCTTTTTCTCTGACCCTCCACCCTACCAAACATGATATCCTTCTCTAGTGATTAGTACCTTCTGACAATATGTTCGAAGTATGAGAGGAAATTTGTCCATCCTGGCCTCCAAAGAGCACTCTGGCTGCATTTCTTCCAACACAGATCTGTTTGGATTTTTTTGGCAGCTCATAGCACTTTCAGTATCTCCTCCAACACCATAACTCAAAAGCATCAATGCATGTGAAAGCTGGACAGTAAGGAAGATAGTAGAAGACATTAGTGAAACTTCCTCAAAATCATAAAGATCACGTGTGAACAACCTATAAAAACCACCAAGCATAATAGTAAAATGTTGACTACGTTATCAGTAAAAACATTGAATGTGATAAATAAATCTGCTCTTGCCAAATATATTCAACATTGTGTTGGAGTTATTACCAGAAAAATAGGTCAAAAGCAATAAATAGAAAGCATCTAATTGGAAAGAAAAAGGTGAAAATATTTTTGATGCATGGTTTGATTTTTTATGCAAAAAAAAAAATAGTAGAGTCTACAAGTTGTTGTTAAGTGCTGTTAGTTGGATGTAAGACTGATTTGCTTGCATCCACAATCAACCATCATAGGACCATAATTCAGGAAATCAAAGTATATATTGAGTTATATAAATCTGTTGTGAAAGACCTCTTTAAGTGTTAAAGAGCAAATATATCAGTTTAAGACTAAGACGCACTTGACTAAAGATATGATATTTTAAATCACCTCATATGTAAGGGAAAGTTGGACAACGAACAAGGGAGAACATACAATAATTGGTGCATTTGAGTTATGATGCTGAAGAGCAATATTGAAAGTACCATGGGCTTCCAGAACACAAAAATCTCTTTTGGAAGAAGTACAGCTTGAGTGGTCCTAAAAAAGCCAGTATGGCCAAACTTCATCTCTCACACTTAAGACATGTTATCTGAAGGCACAATCCCTAGAGAAGGACACAATGTTTGATGAAGTAGAGGGTCAGTGATAAAGAGCAAGACCTGTAATGAGATGGATTGGCAACATGGCAGCAGCAATAGGCTTAAGTGTAACGATAATTATGAGGACGGTGCAGATCCATCCAACGGGACATTATCTTGTGCACAGGGTCACTGTAAGAACTGACTTGACAGTTCCTAAAAAGAGCTATTACATTCCACGTTTATCCCAAAGAAATGGGAACTTACATTTCTGCAATAACCTTTATACAGGTGTTCAGAGAAAGATTATTTATAATATCTAAAAACTCATAAACCCAAAATGTCCTTCTTTAGGTGAAAAGTTAAGCAAACTATAGTATATTCAAAACCTAAAATAATACCCAGCAATAAAAATGAAAAAATTACTGGTGTATACAACAGTGTGAGTGAACCTCAATAGAATCATATAAAGTGAAAAAAATCCGATTTCAATTCAAAACAAAAGATGGTTGTTTTGTTATTAACTATCACTGAGTGGACTCTAATACATGGTAATCTTAGGTAACACAGAACAAAATGTTGCTTGGCCCACTTCTAGCATCAGAATCATTGGCCTATTTCCTTTGCTACAGCCTCTGCGTCAATCTATTTCATAGAGGGTCTCCTCTTCATGTTATCCTCCTACTTAACCAAGTATAAATCCTTCAACGGCAACTGATATTTGCTGATGACACATCCAGAGAAAGAAAACTGGACAATGTTCTGTTGGAAACAGCAAAATATTCATCATTAAAAAATGTTTATTTTGTTGGATGCCATTAATTCAGTTCCAACTGAGAGTGACATAGAAGACAAAATAGAACGGCTACATAGAGTTGTCCAGGCTGCAATCTTTTTAGGTGCAGATGATCCACCTTTCCTCCCAAGGAATTGCTGTGATTCCAGCTGCCAACATTTTATTTAGCACTGAGTGCTTACCACTACATGACCAGGGCACCTTCCATTAAAGATTAATCAGGATAAAAAATACAAAGGGACTTTTAAACGGTCTTAGGAATATTTCATTACTATTTTTCCATAAACTTTTAAAATTCTCCACTTGCATATAGGTGTGTGTGTGTGTGTGTGTATATCTATATATATATATATATAGAGAGAGATATACAGGAGTCCTATAATATATATATAGATATACAGGAGTCCTATAGTGGTGCTGCAGGATAATATACCAGACTGCAAGGTCAGTGTGAACCACAAGAGTTCAATGGTTTAAATTTACCAACCACACCCCAGAAACACTATTATGGGGTTACTAAACGTTGGAACCAACTTGATGGCAAACATATACATACATACATACATACATACATACATATATACATACATACTTTTGTTGTTGTTGTTGTTGTTGTTATGTGCCATGGAGTCGGTTCTGACCCATAGCAACCCTGTACAGGTTTTCTAAGGCTGTAACATTTACTGGAACAGAAAGCCTCATCTTTCTCCCACAGAACCGCTGGTAGTTTCGAACTGCTGACCTTGCGGTTCACAGCCCATTTTTTGTAACCATTATGCTACAAGAGCTCCCTGTATATTTATATATATACATATATATATATGTATATATATATACACACACATATATATGCATTACTTTTATTCCATTTTTTATACCTTTTTTTTTAATATACAGATCATGATCTCAGATAAAATGAAAATTTAAAAATCAACTTATACTTTCATTAATGTCAACATGTCTACACATGTGTATCAAGCTGATAGCTTATGTGTGTTAACAGCTACATTTCTACTTTTCTACACAAAAAATCCAAACAAATACAAATAGCATACATGTATCTTAGTTAATAAAAGTTACAGAGCATCAAATCAGGCTCTTTACATCTCAAGCCAATTCTTTCGAGTTGGATTCCCCATCTGGTTTTTACATAGCTGATTTTGCCAAGCTACAATATTAATCTTTCCCAACAGTCATTTGAAGGTACACAAAAATGCTAGTTTCTGCAACTACAACAAAAACATTGCTTTCTAACTTCAATGCAGCCTCCACTGTGGTCAAGTTTGAAACCCTCAATACTACTATTCAAGTTTGTTAATGTCCAAAACAGCTCTGATTTTCCATGTGCA